ACATTTTCTTCAAAAAACATGGGGCACACCAGTTCTTGGCTCGAGGGTGCAGAATATATTTGTGCAAAAGCACTAGCAGCGAGTGGTTTCGATCCACCGACCTCTGGGTTATGGGCCCAGCACGCTTCCACTGCGCCACGCTGCTGCAGCATCGAACTTATTCATAATGGCATATTTTGTTCGCTCTTGAAAAAACATGGGGGCACACCAGTTCTTGGCTCGAGGGGTGCAGAATATATTTGTGCAAAAGCACTAGCAGCGAGTGGTTTCGATCCACCGACCTCTGGGTTATGGGCCCAGCACGCTTCCACTGCGCCACGCTGCTGCAGCATCGAACTTATTCATAATGGCATATTTTGTTCGCTCTTGAAAAAACATGGGGGCACACCAGTTTTTGGCTCGAGGGGTGCAGAATATATTTGTGCAAAAGCACTAGCAGCGAGTGGTTTCGATCCACCGACCTCTGGGTTATGGGCCCAGCACGCTTCCACTGCGCCACGCTGCTGCAGCATCGAACTTATTCATAATGGCATATTTTGTTCGCTCTTGAAAAAACATGGGGTCACACCAGTTCTGGCTCGAGGGGTGCAGATATATTTGTGCAAAAGCACTAGCAGCGAGTGGTTTCGATCCACCGACCTCTGGGTTATGGGCCCAGCACGCTTCCACTGCGCCACGCTGCTGCAGCGTCGAACTTATTCATAATGGCATATTTTGTTCGCTCTTGAAAAAACATGGGGTCACACCAGTTCTTGGCTCGAGGGGTGCAGAATATATTTGTGCAAAAGCACTAGCAGCGAGTGGTTTCGATCCACCGACCTCTGGGTTATGGGCCCAGCACGCTTCCACTGCGCCACGCTGCTGCAGCATCAAACTTATTCATAATGGCATATTTTGTTCGCTCTTGAAAAAACATGGGGTCACACCAGTTCCTGGCTCGAGGGGTGCAGAATATATTTGTGCAAAAGCACTAGCAGCGAGTGGTTTCGATCCACCGACCTCTGGGTTATGGGCCCAGCACGCTTCCACTGCGCCACGCTGCTGCAGCATCAAACATGTTCAGCACGGCATAGTTTACATTTTCTTCAAAAAACATGGGGCACACCAGTTCTTGGCTCGAGGGGTGCAGAATATATTTGTGCAAAAGCACTAGCAGCGAGTGGTTTCGATCCACCGACCTCTGGGTTATGGGCCCAGCACGCTTCCACTGCGCCACGCTGCTGCAGCATCGAACTATTCATAATGGCATATTTTGTTCGCTCTTGAAAAAACATGGGGCACACCAGTTTTTGACTCGAGGGGTGCAGAATATATTTGTGCAAAAGCACTAGCAGCGAGTGGTTTCGATCCACCGACCTCTGGGTTATGGGCCCAGCACGCTTCCACTGCGCCACGCTGCTGCAGCATCGAACTTATTCATAATGGCATATTTTGTTCGCTCTTGAAAAAACATGGGGTCACACCAGTTCTTGGCTCGAGGGGTGCAGAATATATTTGTGCAAAAGCACTAGCAGCGAGTGGTTTCGATCCACCGACCTCTGGGTTATGGGCCCAGCACGCTTCCACTGCGCCACGCTGCTGCAGCATCAAACATGTTCAGCACGGCATAGTTTACATTTTCTTCAAAAAACATGGGGTCACACCAGTTCTTGGCTCGAGGGGTGCAGAATATATTTGTGCAAAAGCACTAGCAGCGAGTGGTTTCGATCCACCGACCTCTGGGTTATGGGCCCAGCACGCTTCCACTGCGCCACGCTGCTGCAGCATCGAACTTATTCATAATGGCATATTTTGTTCGCTCTTGAAAAAACATGGGGCACACCAGTTTAGGCTCGAGGGGTGCAGAATATATTTGTGCAAAAGCACTAGCAGCGAGTGGTTTCGATCCACCGACCTCTGGGTTATGGGCCCAGCACGCTTCCACTGCGCCACGCTGCTGCAGCATCAAACATATTCAGCACGGCATAGTTTACATTTTCTTCAAAAAACATGGGGCACACCAGTTCTTGGCTCGAGGGGTGCAGAATATATTTGTGCAAAAGCACTAGCAGCGAGTGGTTTCGATCCACCGACCTCTGGGTTATGGGCCCAGCACGCTTCCACTGCGCCACGCTGCTGCAGCATCGAACTTATTCATAATGGCATATTTTGTTCGCTCTTGAAAAACATGGGGTCACACCAGTTCCTGGCTCGAGGGGTGCAGAATATATTTGTGCAAAAGCACTAGCAGCGAGTGGTTTCGATCCACCGACCTCTGGGTTATGGGCCCAGCACGCTTCCACTGCGCCACGCTGCTGCAGCATCAAACATGTTCAGCACGGCATAGTTTACATTTTCTTCAAAAAACATGGGGCACACCAGTTCTTGGCTCGAGGGGTGCAGATATATTTGTGCAAAAGCACTAGCAGCGAGTGGTTTCGATCCACCGACCTCTGGGTTATGGGCCCAGCACGCTTCCACTGCGCCACGCTGCTGCAGCATCGAACTTATTCATAATGGCATATTTTGTTCGCTCTTGAAAAAACATGGGGCACACCAGTTCTTGGCTCGAGGGGTGCAGAATATTTGTGCAAAAGCACTAGCAGCGAGTGGTTTCGATCCACCGACCTCTGGGTTATGGGCCCAGCACGCTTCCACTGCGCCACGCTGCTGCAGCATCGAACTTATTCATAATGGCATATTTTGTTCGCTCTTGAAAAAACATGGGGGCACACCAGTTCTTGGCTCGAGGGGTGCAGAATATATTTGTGCAAAAGCACTAGCAGCGAGTGGTTTCGATCCACCGACCTCTGGGTTATGGGCCCAGCACGCTTCCACTGCGCCACGCTGCTGCAGCATCGAACTTATTCATAATGGCATAGTTTACATTTTCTTCAAAAAACATGGGGCACACCAGTTCTGGCTCGAGGGGTGCAGAATATATTTGTGCAAAAGCACTAGCAGCGAGTGGTTTCGATCCACCGACCTCTGGGTTATGGGCCCAGCACGCTTCCACTGCGCCACGCTGCTGCACGGAACTTATTCAGCATGGCATAGTTTACATTTTCTTGAAAAACATGGGGTCACACCAGTTCTGGCTCGAGGGGTGCAGAATATATTTGTGCAAAAGCACTAGCAGCGAGTGGTTTCGATCCACCGACCTCTGGGTTATGGGCCCAGCACGCTTCCACTGCGCCACGCTGCTGCAGCATCGAACTTATTCATAATGGCATATTTTGTTTTCTTGAAAAAACATGGGGTCACACCAGTTCTTGGCTCGAGGGGTGCAGAATATATTTGTGCAAAAGCACTAGCAGCGAGTGGTTTCGATCCACCGACCTCTGGGTTATGGGCCCAGCACGCTTCCACTGCGCCACGCTGCTGCAGCATCAAACATATTCAGCACGGCATAGTTTACATTTTCTTCAAAAAACATGGGGCACACCAGTTTTGGCTCGAGGGGTGCAGAATATATTTGTGCAAAAGCACTAGCAGCGAGTGGTTTCGATCCACCGACCTCTGGGTTATGGGCCCAGCACGCTTCCACTGCGCCACGCTGCTGCAGCATCAAACATGTTCAGCACGGCATAGTTTACATTTTCTTCAAAAAACATGGGGCACACCAGTTTTTTGGCTCGAGGGGTGCAGAATATATTTGTGCAAAAGCACTAGCAGCGAGTGGTTTCGATCCACCGACCTCTGGGTTATGGGCCCAGCACGCTTCCACTGCGCCACGCTGCTGCAGCATCGAACTTATTCATAATGGCATATTTTGTTCGCTCTTGAAAAAACATGGGGTCACACCAGTTCTTGGCTCGAGGGGTGCAGAATATATTTGTGCAAAAGCACTAGCAGCGAGTGGTTTCGATCCACCGACCTCTGGGTTATGGGCCCAGCACGCTTCCACTGCGCCACGCTGCTGCAGCATCAAACATATTCAGCACGGCATAGTTTACATTTTCTTCAAAAAACATGGGGCACACCAGTTCTTGGCTCGAGGGGTGCAGAATATATTTGTGCAAAAGCACTAGCAGCGAGTGGTTTCGATCCACCGACCTCTGGGTTATGGGCCCAGCACGCTTCCACTGCGCCACGCTGCTGCAGCATCGAACTTATTCATAATGGCATATTTTGTTCGCTCTTGAAAAAACATGGGGCACACCAGTTTTTGACTCGAGGGGTGCAGAATATATTTGTGCAAAAGCACTAGCAGCGAGTGGTTTCGATCCACCGACCTCTGGGTTATGGGCCCAGCACGCTTCCACTGCGCCACGCTGCTGCAGCATCAAACTTATTCATAATGGCATATTTTGTTCGCTCTTGAAAAAACATGGGGCACACCAGTTCTTGGCTCGAGGGGTGCAGAATATATTTGTGCAAAAGCACTAGCAGCGAGTGGTTTCGATCCACCGACCTCTGGGTTATGGGCCCAGCACGCTTCCACTGCGCCACGCTGCTGCAGCATCGAACTTATTCATAATGGCATATTTTGTTCGCTCTTGAAAAAACATGGGGTCACACCAGTTCTTGGCTCGAGGGGTGCAGAATATATTTGTGCAAAAGCACTAGCAGCGAGTGGTTTCGATCCACCGACCTCTGGGTTATGGGCCCAGCACGCTTCCACTGCGCCACGCTGCTGCAGCATCGAACTTATTCATAATGGCATATTTTGTTCGCTCTTGAAAAACATGGGGCACACCAGTTCTTGGCTCGAGGGGTGCAGAATATATTTGTGCAAAAGCACTAGCAGCGAGTGGTTTCGATCCACCGACCTCTGGGTTATGGGCCCAGCACGCTTCCACTGCGCCACGCTGCTGCAGCGTTTAACTTCCTTTTCCAACTGTTTACATAAGTGACATTCAGTGTGTGGTGCACGTGGACGTATAAATCTCCGATTTTTGCAACTTTTCACGATATAACATTTATGTACATTACCATACGCACACTCGACTCGACATCTTGTATTCATTTTTGCTCCGTTATAATAAACTAAGGTTGCAGATATTGCTCGTTTCTTCATATCATTTCCCATTATGCATGGAACTGCCGCAAAGTGCATTGGATGCGAGAATCATTTTTGCCACTCGTTGCATCGCTTCAGGGAAAACCTGATGCTCTTTCTCGCGAATTTTCTCATGTAGGGTTTCTTCATCATCGTCGTCGTCTATTTTCACAGCTTCCTGCAGAATTATAGCACCGTGGTCGACTCGCTCCTGTAAAACACAAACATCATTTCGCGTAAATGAGAAGCACGGGAGGGATGTTAGGTTGAAGTGACCATCTAGGAAGAAATGTGGACCAAAAGCCTCTTCGAACGCAAAGCTCTTATGTGTGCGCCATATTTGCTAAGCGATTCTATGAAGGGAATTACATACATTTGTGGGCTACGCGGCAGGCTCAAGCTTAGCACGGAGGCGAGATGCGCACACGCTTCCCCTTTGTGTACCGGTGAGCTAATGGTTGCTTAAGGGTCTCGTATCTGCCAGGTGAAGGATATGCGGGTGAACAAAGTTTTTTTTACATTTTTTCCTGATGTGCTGTAACAGGTTTGGAGCCCTGCTTTTCACTGAATTAGGAATTCCAATTTTGCCAAACTGTTGTTGGTGAAAAAATGGAACCCTCATACAATTCGGCATGGAGACTTCCGACGGTGTTTCCCTTTGGCACACCATCCATGCAAGTCAAATCACTAATTCCGCTAGAAATCTTAACAGGGACGTTGAGAACGAGTCTTATAACCGGTTTGCATGGAACCATCACATTCGCGGTTTCTAAAAAATTCGCGACGACGTGCGTTTTAACCTTTTTTGTCGCGTGGGACGAACGTTATTTCGCGAGCGCCACCGTTTCACCTTAGATCCGAGGATTTTGTGCAGTAAAAAATCAAAACCTCCATGGTTCAGACTAATTTGACCATTGGTCAGCACCTGGAAATAATCCAGGTTTACTAGAACTTAGATTATGAGGATGCACAATGGCAGTAAAAAGGCATAATTCATGATTTTCGCTGCTGTGAACATCAAAAGCAGTTTTGTTCGATCATTTCAATGAAAACAGGCGTCTAAGCAACTATTGAGCGTACTTCTAGTGCTTCCTTATTCACGTGTTATACCAGTGCAATGAAAAGAAGAATGAAGAGACCCAAAGCTTCGCACGGCTCAGAAGATCTTTTACGAAGCCTCTTCTGAAAGGTTTTGGCACTACTTACTCCTTACGGCTTCACTCCTCGAAAACAGAGCCGTATTTTTACCAAATTTTGTCCATGACTGTGGATTTGGTTGGAAAGTTGCCTCCGAAAGATTGTAGAAACTCACATCCACAAAATGCGATGTGCATCCCGTGATCTTCGCTCCAAAATTGATGGCATCACGAACAGCGTGTTGGCCTAAAAAGACTCGTGAATTTTCGAGAGTTATGGGCAAAACTGAAGACCTATAGAAGACTCGAGCTTGCGCTTCAGTACTCATGGGGCACATGCCTCTACCGCTACGTCATAGAAGAGTTTCCAAGGGTCTAGAGCTCTATCCCGCTGAGAACTGATAATGTAGGATCCAAGTACTGTAAGAAAGTACTGTAAGAGTTCCCAGTGTTGCCCGAAAAGCAGCGTATACTTGTAATACGATATCACCGTTTCGAGGGATTAATGGTGTTTGAAAG